GCCCCAAAAACGACACTTGTCCTCATTGGCGAAGGCTTTCTTCGGGTTCGATTCAAGGCCAACAGAGGTGTAAGCATTTCTCGCGGCCGCCATCCTAGCATCAGCTTTTGTAGCGACCTTGGAGTTCCGCTGCGTCTTCAGGATCTGTTCGAGGACGATCAAATCGTCCACAATGATCCCCACTTGTAGCAAGCCCCGCGGTACAGAACCTCGAAGGGAAAGCAATTCACCCACGGCAGCGACCCCGAACTGCAAGCACATCGCCAAGTGCGAACATTGCGCAAACTCTACAGCGCAACAATCGCCCATGGCCAGCGTGGAAAGCCCAACCTCAACGACATCATCGGGCCAGCTGAAGTGCTCTCCAAACACATATTTGGCTTCAGCCAAAGTCAGTGGCGAGCACAGGGTGTTGCGTGAAATGCGTTCATCGTTCACACGGAACTGATAGAAAAAATCACGTAGGTCCTCGCCACTGACGCAAAGGTCGCAACCAGCTTGGAGATAAAGGCCGCAGAGAGATGATGCGGAGGCCATGCCAAGGCACCACTTGCGCTGCCCGACGTCCAAAATATTGGCAGGCCTGCCATCCAGCACCATCCTATCCCTCAGCTGATCCTTGCCAACTGCGAAGAGACCAGAAGTGTAACCATCATAGAAGGTCCCAGTCCGGATGGGCTGAAGGCGGCCGGAAAGTGCCAGTTTGCGGTACAAGTCGAGCTTGTTCCGCTGCGTGGCTCGCACAGACACTTTTGGAGGAATTTCATCAACATCATCAGGAGACAGGCCAGTGGAAATGGGTCTGTCGTACCGCTCAAGGGTGCAGTCATCAAAGAACTTCCGGGGGTCAAAGCGTGGAGGGCCAGGAAAGTGCAGCCTGTCTGCAAACAAAGGCTTGGCCGTGACGACAGGGTCATGATCTGACCTCCCAGCAATCGATCCACAACGTAGCTCACGGTGCTCAAAAACACAAGTCTTGCTAGGCTTCAAAGGGGCGTACATACCTTCAAAATTGTGCAAGTCGGCAGTGGCACGGCCCAGGACGTCCATACACTTCTGAAAGTCCTCAATCTTCGTGGCGGCCCGGCCCATGTCAACCGCCTCAACACTAATTGGAAAGTTTCGATCAACGGCAAGGTGTTCGATCATCCGGACGACTGACCACTGTTTTGCATTGAGCCTGGCACCAAGTCGCAGTGACGCAGGAGCAGCCGCAGGACACCCCAGAAAATACCAATCAAGTACAATAATCTGAAGGCAACAAAGGCGCTTGAAATGTGCGCTCTCAACCCGCTGCGCCGCACCCGCCCGGAAAACCTCCGGGTAAGGCACCGGACAAGGCCAGACCACACCAGCCATTGACGTACAGGCATCATTAACCTGGTGGGACTGCACGATGGAAAGCAAAAAACCCTGTAGGCCGCATTTGGACTTTAACAGCAACCTGGGCAGCGAATTCAAAAAACCCGGAACATTGACGGTGGCGGCATCAGACCCGGGCAGCTTAGGCAGAGGCCCCGGCTTGGTGCAGCGATCACCATCAGCAGGCAAAGGCTCATCACGAGCCGTCATGCATCTGAACTCTTCTCCGCAGTCGTGGCCGCCTTCGGTTTGGCTCCGGGGCGGCTCTTTTTCTTGGCGTCTGGGCTCAGGCTGCCGCTCTCCTCTGCAGGCTTTCCAGTGCTCCTGCCAATATTCCTTCGCTTTGTCAGGTATTCGTCCTGGTCGCGAAGGTGGGATATCGACACTTCTGCCCACCGTGCATCCAGCAGCTTTGAAAATGGCGAATCTCCCTGCATCACATCGGGGGGCACATGTTGGGACATTGCTGTGAGTGGAGGCCCTTGCTCGAGACTGAGCTCTGCAGCTAGCGTCCACGAACCTCGATCTACTGACGCCTGGTCGATCTGCAGCAGACCCAAACAGGCACGGGCTCTGGCCTGAGGTACATTGTTGGCCAACAGAGAATCCAGAATGCCCGCAATGCACCACGAGGAGTAAGCCGAGGATTTGTAGGACCCAATTCGAGAACGAAATTCGACCCACGCCCGTGCGCTCAGACCTCGGGGTTGGCAGCCTGGCGGCAGGGTCTGCGAGTTCAGGTCCTCGAACATCAGTCTTTCGATCAGCAGATGCACTTCCTCCGGATGCTCTTGGAAAGCGCTTCGCAACGCCCGCCTTGCCACAGCTGTCTTCTTGCCTGAGCCCAAGCTTGTAACATCTGACCCTGTCGCTTGCACAGCGTCGAGGGCAGAATCCAGCTTTGACCCAGTTGTCTTCTTCTGCTTCTCCTCGGTCAGCAGCTCCATGATGTTGGTCAGCTTGGCAAGGGATGAAGCTAATGGGTCTTGAACTTGAGACCCAGATCCTCCGACAGGGGCTTCCTCCATCTCCTGCTCCGTGGCCGAACCTCCGTCCTCGGACAGAGGGTCCAGAACGATGTTCGCATGCACATCTGCTGTCTTCCTTGCTCGCGCATTCTGCAAGACCACCCTCTCCATCTGGCCCAAGCTCTCGTGAGACACACCGGCCTGCAGAGCAGCTTGAACAACTCCTGGATCGAGGTGAGGAAAATCCATCGTCTTCAACGCAGCTCCTGACGACGAAGAAGGTTTGGCCTTCAGCTTTGTTGGCATGGGCGCTGGCTTCGTCTTGGTCGGTGTCTGATGGGCTTTGGAACGCTGCATCTGCAGGAGCTGCTGCATGCTCGACTGCAGGCCATCCAACACTGACTCCACATGTCCCATCCTCGTCTCGAGGTCCGCAGATCCAGGCCCGCCGGCACTCAGAGGTCGCCCGTCCACACCCACCAGAGGCTGATCGTCTGGGTCGATGGGATCGTACGCTTCCTCCTCTTCCTCCTGCGCAGAGAAGAATGCAAAATGGTCGTTGGCTGCGGCAATCAGAGAGGCGGCAAGAGGGATGTAAAGTTTCTCCCCTTGCTGCATGAAAAAGTAATCGCACTGAGCTCCATCTGAAAACACCTCCACATCCGCTAGAAGAGTCGGCTCGAGAAAACCGACCCACAACTTCATCTTCATGCCTTCTATCTGTGTCATAGGGGAGTCTGAGTCGGCTACCAGCACTTCGACTTGGGTCACCTTCTTCAGGGCTCCTGAAACAAGTAGCCGGCGATTCACATTGCGATGCCATACTGAGTGGGGCACAGCAACCAAAGGTCGGCTTTCAAATTCCGAAATAGCAATCAATTGAAACTTGATGTCACCAGAAGACAAATGGCTGGTGAACAAAAGCACTTCAAAGTCTGAATTCAGCAAACCTTCCACCAGCAAATAGGAAATGCCAGTGGCAGTGTCGTCGTCCTCGCCGCTCATTGCTCAACGAAGCCGGGCCAAATCAGTCCAGCTGCAGCCACCGCCCGTCGCGCCTCACGCTCCGAAGGGAAGCCCACGTAGATTGCGTTCCCGGACTCGCCGTTGCGCGTGCACAGGTTCTTGCAAGGGGTGAAGGGGTGGACCTTGAAGACCCTGGAGAGTAAATCGAACCTGGATAGTCACGCACCACCACGTAGATCCTGGAGCCGAGATGGTTCTTCTCACGCCCACTCAACCCACGATGACGACCCTCCAAGCACCTATTGATCCAACCACCAATCTCTTCAGCAATTGCCTCGCGCTCAGGCCAAGTCAATGAGCCAGAAGAGCCGGGAGCACCTCCGCGCACTTGCAATCCAGATTCACTGCTGTCAGCAGTGCCAGAATGACGCAAAGCAGCTGTAGAAGCTCCCGTTGCGTCTGCACGACTGACCAGCGAGAAAGAATCCACAGACCGATCAGACTCCCCACCACGCACACTTGCCGCTTGAGACCCAGAAGGGCCACGAAGCACCTCACGCAGCTGACGCTTGAGGCCAGAGACGCTGAGAGCCAGCCGTTGCACTTTTTCTCGGAGATCCGCTACCTCGTCTTCCAAGGTAGTGATCCGGTCACTCATCAAAGGAGCTTGTACAGCTCCTTTCGCGAACCAGAAACTGATGTAGCCCCGAAGTGGTGTTGAAACCAAGTCACAATGCACCAGCGCAACGTGAAAAACCACTCAAGGATGGTGTAGATCAGGAGCCCGCAGATCAGGCCAAGCAGAAAGCTCCAGGGTTCCACCACCTGACCAGTGCTGGATGATGCAGGGTCGAAGAAAGGAGGCAGCGGATATTGCTCTGCCCACCCAAGAAGTTTCAGGGCAAGGGCTACGCTGGATCCTGCCGTCACACCTGTGGTGACAGGCCTAAGGCTCATGAGCCGAGATTCTACCACCCATTGCATTGGAAACATTGTCCCCATATAATACAAGAGGACCCACTGCTGATTCGTTCGGTCGTCCGATTTATCCGAAGTTGCCAATATGGGCAAAACAAATTCCGGCAGACACAAAGGCAAGCCTGCAAATACCCCAGGCAATCTTGCGAGTCTGGTTGGCTTAACACGAGGAAACCTGAGCTTGCAGCACGCCTCAGGCATCTAGCGAGAACCCCATCACATCCAGCTCAGTCAGAATCCGCATCTGACTTCGTTGGGTCCAAAGTGACATCCGGCGGATCAAAAGAGAAAGCTCCATTTTGCCCCTCACCTTTCGAGCTGCGAAGAACTGCGGTCAAGCGCTCTATCAGAACTGGTGACCCTTAACACACACACACACACACAAGCATAGAAGCATACAACTACATCCATCGGCATCTGAACTATTCACCCGGGACTTATCAATCTAGAAAAAAGTCCCCCAAAGGTGAAGAACCCCGTCCAAACAGGGCCACAATCACGTTCCCTTCTGCAAAAACACGCAACACAAAGGTGCTTTGGTTTCCTCCCTTTTCCCCCTTTTCCTAGGCAGAGACTCGTGGTGCTTGCTGTGTTTTTGGGGTGCCCCTGGGCTTGGGCCCATGGGGTTTTTGGGTCGCTGCCTTTTTTTGAGGGGTGCCCCTTTCCTCGGGACGGGCTAGGGCCGTGTTCTTTTTTTTTGGGGGGGGGGGGGGGAAATCGAGCGGCCACCGTCACGATGGGCGCCAGCACCGCAGGCTGGGAGCTGACCCACCAGGGAGTCTGGCAGATCAAATGGTCACTAATGGTGGGAGGGTTGGATGAGGTTCATGGGTCAAAATCCAAATCGGTTAGCCCCCAGTGAACATCCGATTCAATCCCCACTAAAATCGGTTCTAAAATGGGTGGTGCACCTACACCTATCCCAAAATGGGATCCCACTGGTTTTCAGAGCCAAATCACCAAAGATGGGCGGGGCTGAGGGGTTGGGTGGAGGGGTTGGTGGGGGGGGTGGGGGGATGGATGGGGTTGGGGGTGGGTTAGAAACCCGCCATCCAGCCCAAAAAAGATGTACCCTGAAACAACAGGCAACCCCATTGACCTGCACCAGTTGGTAATATGATTTATCCCAGCATTAGGGTGTCATCCATCCCAAATGGTGCGAAGTGGATTCCTGGATGGATGCTTCCCAGCCCAAAAACGGAGTTAGTATTTTCTAGGAACCCAAAGAAAACCCCACCCAAACGGTGGGTCCCGCTTTCTGGGTGCCTTGTGTCTTAGGCAACCCCCCAACGAAACGGGTTGGCTTTCCTTCTGGCGTCCCAAAAAAACCCGTCCAACAACCCAAGCTGCCATCCAACAACCCCCCCCCCCCCGTTTCCAACAATTGGGGTGTGACACCGTCAAACGTCGTCGCCCCACAGGCGCACCAAGAGGCCGCCGATGCTCAGCGCCATGGCCAGCAGCGCGCTGATGGCGCTCAGGCCTTCCCACCCCGGTGTTTCCTACTGTGGACGAAATCCTGCACTCTGAAACCAGAAGCCATTGTTTGTTGGTATTTACAGGGGAATCATCATTCCAGGGTTTCTTCGCTGCTGCAGGAGTTCATCCATGCACAGCATGAGAGTTTATGGCGCCAGGGAACCAAATTAATATTTCGTTCAGTACCGTTTTTTTTGAAGCGACCCTCCAAGGAAAAAACGGTGTCTGCGGTGCCATGGGGTTAAACGTTATGTTCAGAGTTTCCAAACGGCTTTGTGGGTGTAAATTTTGATAGGACAAAGACGCTTTGCTGGACATCGTTTACATGTGGATTCACGTCCACCAACTATTTCTGAGAGGTTCCCTATCAAATCCATAGCCACGTTTGTCGAAAACAACAGGATCTTTTTCTGGAGGTTTTTTTCTGGTTGACATGGGGCTCTGGTCACAGGGCATCATAGTTTTGAAACGGCTTCCATGTGGTCTTAATTTAATTAGTATTGATACAGTTTCACACTGTTCCATACGGTTAATCTGGTCTATGGTCTCAATATGGTCTCATATTCTCCACGTCGGGGGAGCCCTGGAAATTGGAGCTCCATCCAAGAGCTGGGAGTCCGTTTTGTCAGGCGGAGGTCAAAGAGCTCCAAGAGGTCCAAACCAAAGCTTGTGTTGCTGAATCGTCCAGCGCCTTTCCTGGGCCTTAGGGAAAACTGGGGGCATTTCCATCACCTCCAAAGGTGGCTGGTTCGACGAACGAATCCCCTGGAGCCCAGCAAAGGGTCCAGTCAGATTCATCTGGGTGAATCATCATATTTCACCAACCTGAAATAAGCTGGTTCGGGGCCATTCCCCACATAAACCACCGTTTGGGGTGAATTCGGTCGTGTGAGGTCGTTATAATTCACCCACACTCATACCCAAACAACAAAGCCCGCCTGACAGCCACTGGTTGTACTCCATCTCAAGTGAGAATCCCACACATTGCCAGGGCCATGGCCGGCTGATCTGCGGATCCTTGCCGCACCCCGAACCAACAGAACAACAAAACCTCCTAGCACGACGTTTTTGCCGGGCCCAACACGCTCTGCATGTGTTTGTTGTTTTTTTGCAATGATATGGGGCAGGTTCTTCAAAAGCGAGTGATTCTCAAAAAACCTCTGGTTGGGACTCTCATCGAACCGCCTCCATTGACCCGAATAGCTTTCGATGGTGAGCGCTTACCTCGGGATCTCCCTTCAGGAGCTCCAACTTGAGCCAGCGAGATGAGACATGCCCCACTCACGCTACACTCCTGATCAACATGGAACTGCAACACCCATTTTGGGCTACATGTTTCTGGGTATTCATCAGAAAAAGTGACCTGAAACTTGAACCTGACTGCGGGTTCCTGAAAGACAACTTTCCTCAAGGGCCCCACTAAGGGCTCCGTGGGGACCTTGGGAGGTCATCCATCACACTCATGGCGGCAGAACATGTACGAACAAACGAGAGAAAGAGAAACAAATATGTTCGGATTGGAATCCCAGGCAAACATCCGGGTTCCCTACATGTACCCTACAAACATCACCCCACCGAAAAACACATCACTGATGTTTAACAAGGGGCAATATACCCTCATCCAAACCCAAGCTCGGCACTGCAGCAAGGCGCAAACCCACAAGCAGTCGTGATCATGTGCATATCTTTTTTTGGGGACCAAGGGCTCAACCCAGCGGCTTCAGTCCGCAGGGCTACCAAAAGCTTTCGATATTTGGCACCGAGGGCCCTCTGCAGGGCGGTGCGCTTCCAAGTCATTTGCCATTTCGAGCAACTTTGGCCCGGAGCTCGACGCATCAGGAAAAACCGTAGCGTATACAAGGCACCGCGGAAAAGCCGCGCTATGCAACAGCTCCAGCCTGGATCCAAACAGAAGCCCTGCAGCAACCAAAGTCCCACGCGGTTCAGTATTTCTCAAACCAGTTTAAGTCAACTGCAGTGACTGGAGCATACCTGCCAGACTCTGCAAAAGCTGACCACTTTGAAATCCAGATTGGGCAATTCCTTCGACATCTTCTCTGTCAAGTAGACTCATCCCGCGTGCTGGAGGAAGTTGATACCATCGAGCCTCGCAGGGCAGGGGAAGACAATCTTCAACACACCAAGGGGCCCAACCACCGAAATTCCGGGACATGCTGCCAGCAAAGCGACGAACAGTGCTATGAATTCAAAACACTCAAGGAAGGAGTTGGAAGCTGACTCTTTCATGATTCCCTATATAGATTCTTGTGGAGATACTGTGGCTGTGTTGTACGAGTTGGAAAAGCGTGGAACATGGAACATGGTGAATCACAGGTAAAGCATTCAAAGTCTTGCATCGAAGTGAGACCAACTCCTTTGCCTAAACCAAAACATGGGGGGCATAGGTGTCCTTTTTGGAAAATATAGATGGCCCTGGTAGATGATTGAACCACCAGGTAAACCAGCGCCTTCCATGTTTTAAGCAAAACGACCAAAAAGGACACCTATGATGCGGGGCCCAAGGGCCCAAAGTGCTCAACAATGGCTGGTTCACGAACAACCTCCTTGCTCGTTTGCTCGCTGTGGTGAGCTAGACCATCGATTCATTTGGGTAGGAACTTTCATTGGGAACCCTCTGGTGGAGATCGTTTCCTGCCATTTGCTTAAGCCCGGTGGAAGAAAAATAAGTAAACAACATATAAATAATGTTTTTCCAGTAGTGATACATTCCCTTCAAAACCAACAGGGGAAAATACAACATGTTCATTTCAGAAAATGGAAGTTTCACAAGCTTAGTTGGGGATTCATGTCCAGCAACCACTTTTCAGATGACCGCACATAGTCGTGATTCGTGATGGAATGGGATGGAGCTACTTTTCTCTCGGGTCGCCAAAAAAAACACACACACACACACACAAAAAAAAAACACAATGCCATGTGGGTGTGGCTCGAAAATAGGGGTCCGCAATGGAACCCTGGTAAATGGACAAGCAGACTACCTGCGTATTACCAGCTGTTTAATGTTTTGAGCCGCAGGCATTTGCTTTCCCAAGCACCCCACTCCACCCCGTCCACCCCAACTCCACCCTCTGCACCTTAAGTCTCCACCTTAAGTCTCCACCCAACCACTCAACACCACTCCCCCAAAAACCGGCAGCCAGATACCGCTCCTCCCTCCACCAGCTCCACGCTCCTCGAGGCGGAGCCGTTGGCCTGGCGCAAACTCCCAGTGTACAAGCGCCTCGCTCGTCTTTTTTGGGTGGTACCCGGGTTTAGGGTCGGTAAGGGAAACCAAAGGAAACCACACATTTTGTGGGAGGTCCACTATTTTAAGCCACCGTTTTGAGACACAAGTGGGCTTGTCGTCTTGAAGTTGCTAGCCTTTTGGGGGTTCCAAAGGGACAACCGACATCCAGTGGTGGGGTGCCCTGTTTTGCCACACCCACATTGATATTCGGTGAAAGCAAATGCCATGCCAGGTTTTGGTTTAGACATCCGCTTTACTCGGCCCCATTAAGGGCATTGTGCCATCTTGGTGCTTTTGTGTTTGGGTGGCGTCGTCTCACCCCCAAACCAAAAGTAGACCAATAAGGGTGAGTGCCGATCGGGACTTGATGGACAATATTCACTGATTCACCATTGAATTTCATGTCCAAATTGAGCATCAAAGAGATCTACCCAAAGCCCACAGTAAAAGAGGAGGAGGCATCGTCCTATTTACAGTAGGGCAACGGGACAGTCCAGAAAGTTCATCGAGGTTTTGACAAGGTGACAGCATGAGAGAAGTTGCTGAGGCGTGAAAACCAGATGAAACGCTGTAGGACCATAGCGTGCAGCAATGGAAAGTAGTCCCAAGTTCTGAAATGTCCATTGAGGCTGTCAAGAAACAACAGGATGGTTGTCGCCCCGGGCAAATGAACTCATCGCACCTATAAAGGAATCGCTCCTCAGCTACATAGCAGGGACTGAATGCTCCAGGGGAACCGCCTGGCCCACTCTACTTCTGTGCTTGAAAGCACGGGTGAGCGGGCTTTATCTATGTCCTATCCCCCAATGCCCCCTCTAAAGTTTCTCGTTGGGCCCTTCAGCGCTCGTGTCTCAGCGCACCTCGACCGGCGATTCCCTGGGTCGGAAGATGAGGAAGCAAGGCAGAGCGCTGGCGTAGACGGCCTGCGGAATGCCATTGCCCTATCAGGATCTGAACATTCAGGTGGGCGTGCTATTTTAGTAGGGTACCCTCAAAATTGCTGTGGTGTTTCTTGATTTTTCAGGGCACCCCCCAACAAAATCTTGGCTTTCATGTGAGTGCTCATGTTTGTTTTTTGGGGAACCCCAAGGACTAATGATGGGTTTCAGGTTGGTTTCCCCTCAAACCTTTCACGGCCAACTTGGGGAGTCCACCAGGTAAAATCCGAGCGGCTGCCACCATCAGGTACCAGGGCCAAATTCCGTCCACCAGGTAGAAGAAGGCCTTGTGACCTCCAAGGATCAAGAAGATCAACCGGAGGATCTTGGAAGACCACTAGAAAAGGGCCCCTGTCCAGTGGCATGTCTGCTGGACAATAGCCCTGTTCCGCAGGTGGGAGAAGATATCCGCATCCATACATTTGAGAGATCCTAGGGCCCCTCAATCCCCAGGAAAGGTTCTAAAAACCTTCTTTCTTCGAAGAGGCCAATAGAAGGGTATTCCGCTGGGTAGGGGGGGGGGGGGATGATTAGCCCTAATAGAGGCGGGGGCACATGACAAGCCCAAATGCAAGGGCATTCCCTGTGATGTGACCTGATAATAGGAGAGGGCCAGGGCCCATATTCATTGCGTCTCAAACGCGCCGAAGGGGAAAAACAAAACAGAACCAGCACCCCTCCTCCATGAAAATTCTGGCAAATGGCCCAAATAGCCCCTGGCCCAAACAGCCCCTACCGGAGGTCTCTTATTAACTTCCATTTGCTTAAGACCCCTGGAAAAAAGATATTTCCAGTAGTGATTAATTCCTTCTAAAACCAACAGGGGAAAATAAACATATTCATTAATGGAAGTTCACCATTCAGAGCTGCGCATCCATGGGCACGACGTCATCCATCTCTAGCAGCTGACGCAACCTCTGGACGCTAGGCCTGAAAGCCGTGCTGAGGCTAAGGCTCAGAAAGGCGCCCAGGGACCAGTAGTTGAGCCAGACCATGTGCCTCAGATCTCAGCTGAGTCACTGGCTCAAAACACCGGGATGAAAAATGGCCGTAATCCCCAGAACCATATGTCGAAGAATTGAAATTTTCGGCGGAGATCCGACACGATTTTTCTGGCTGGGACTGGCCCTTACTCACCTTCATCTACCCAAATTTTGATTGTGGCTCAGCTGGGGTCCTTTTCGAACGAGCTCTCAGGCATGAGCTCCCCGTGACGTTTGACCACGTCGAGTTATTCTGAACCAAACATGCGGGGCCAGTCATTTTGGCTCAATTTGGCAATTCTTGGGCATTTCGAGTTGCCCCAAATGAATAGCTGACAATACCACCCGCAAACGATAAACCCAAAACCGATAACCTGATATGTCTGTCGTACAAATGTTTCATATCTTCGCACCTAACATTCTGGCCGTCAAACATCGCTCGGGCCTCCTCCAACTGACTACCCGCCCGCCCAGCAAGTTAGGGTTGGGACCCTGGCCCAATAAGCCCGTACCCTTCAATAATTTTGAACCCCGTGTTCCAAATTTCAACTGAAAGTGAACAAACAAAAATCAAGGTCGTCTTGCCACACGGGACTACAACTTAACATGACCAAAACTTCCATTTGGCTAAGACTCCTGGAATAAAACAAGATTGAAAAAATCCAGTAGTGAAATCGATTCCCTTTCAAACCAACAGGAAAAAATCGTTATTTCAGCAAATGGAAGAACATGCTTTTTTGGTGGTCTTACCAAGCAACAACAACAACCCTAAACCCTAAACCCTAAACCCTACAGGTGGTCTTACCCAAACAAAGCAACAAAACCTCTCAATGCGAGGTCCCGTCCTCCGCCAGCTCTGCGGGAAGACCATGGTCTTCACATCTTTGGCAGCGGGAATCGTTAAGAAGGCCTCGGGCGCTTGAAACTAACCGTTTAACCGCGGCGCTGTGGCGGTGGTTGTCAACAATAGGATAACCCAATAGGAGGATTCTGTTTTGCTTTTTGGAAGGCGACAATCCATGGATAGGTGTAGAAGAGACTTGTCGTTAGGGGAACAAGATGCGTGTTTTCTTGGTTTCCCTTACGCGCCAACCAAAAAGGGGGCCTTCCCCAACCAACAAGACACACACATGTCCTGGTGGTCTTTCAGCTTGCTTGCTTGCTTGCCTGCCTGATTGCTTGCTTACCTGGCTGCTGCGCAGGTCAAGATAATCAAATCCACAGCGGCAAAGAACCGCTTCAGCCCAACCTTGCACTAAGTCCGGACAGCTTCCTCAGAAACAGGAATGCAATGAGAACAACACCTGAAACCATGCGCTTGAAAATCAACCGACTACCTGTGTTTTGAACAAATTTATATTCGCCAACAATGAACGGCAAGATGGCAACCATGCAGAGAAACTTCTATGGAGGCTATCTCCACAGAACCGGCAAGTCAAAACTCCAACAAGCCCCAAAGGCAACATATGGCCATGGGTCAAAAGCCCGTACCCCGCAGTGAACATCCCAATCCCAACTAAAATAGACTAAAATGGGTGGTGCACCTACCCAAAAATGGGATCCCATTGGTTTTGACCACCACAGATATCAGAGCTTGGATGATGCTTGCTTTTCTGGGCCAACCGCCATCCTGGAAAAAACGCGAACGTCTCCATGCTTCCGATTGAGCTTCGGGCCATACAAGCGATCAGCTCCGACAAGTAGTGCCGGCTCCGCAGGAAGGCGCTGCTCCAAGGGTCTTGGTCCTCTGCATGCTGCCAGACATGCGAGCGCATAGGCGCCTAGCTGCAGGAGGCTGAGGTCTACCAAACACGAGAGCAACGGAGAAACGAACATCTTGAGTTTCCCCAAGGGGGAGACTTGGGAAATGACTTGCCTGGGTATGGATGGGCCCCCTTCTCATCCCAACCAATAGTTTTCTAAGACTTAGTCCCCCTTGCCACGAAATGGGCCTGTCAAAAATAGGAGTCGGAACCCTCTACTTACTCAGTTGCCCAAAGGACCTGGAACTAAAAGGTTAACCTTTTGGGGCCATGACTAAATATGGACCAAAATGGGAAAGCCAAAAGGTCAAAAGGTCGGCTTTGAACAACTGAGCTTAGGACTTAGGATTTCGGCTTCTGGTTTCCCTTTCTACCACTTAAGGGGTATCCTTCGCCTCAAAACACCACTCCACTTGAGTGACTCACAAGCTAAGGCCAGCGGTCCACGCGCTGCTTCACCCCCGGGTGGAGCAGCAGCCCGGCGGCGATGAACTCAGCAACGCGCTTGCCGGGCCTACCTCTCAAAGGGAAACCCCGGATGACCCCACCCCATCCACTCAAAAACACCCAATCCGCCCCAACTCCACCCTCTACACACCGAACAAGTCTCCACCTCAGATGGAATTGACCCACCCGTGGATAGAATTCGCGGGGTGGGGATAAACAACCCCGTGTGAGGTGGTTCCCGACAAAATGGCTTTGGCTCCCGTGTCAAGTCTTTCAAGGCACATTTAAATAGGCATCCGTGATTGACCTTTCTGACTTTCCGCTCATTTGCCCATGCAGGCGCGACGTGAGAGCCGAGACGAGGGCAGCAAAAGGCCAATAGTTCACGAAGAACCTGCCAATGCACTCCTGCCGGCGAATGGCTGTGAAAATTCAGTCGAACTCTGTGATACCAAAACCGGCCTGCTTTCTCACGGGGATTCCCTGATCGCAGAAAGCGGCAACCTAAAACCCAATGCTTCCCACAATAGCCCGTTTAGAAGTTGCCTTCATTCAAAGTACACCAAGGACACCACCCCCCCCCCCCGCCATTTTGGTGGGTACCCCAAATTCTGGAGACAGACCTCAGCTTTGGGTGCTAACTAGAGGGTCTGGCAAAAACAAAACACAACTCCTGGAATCGCCTTTGGGCTTGGGCAAGACAAAACAAAACTTGGCACGGGCCATTGCTGGGCACTCGATCGATGCTCCCTCGAAGCCCCCCCCCCCATGCCACGGAAGACTCCTGGCCGGACATGGGCACCAACTTCACGCAGTAGGCCCAAAGAAACAGCTCCTGCCGAGGCTTGGGGCCATCTGGACCACTCTTTTTGGATCGGGCGTGGCTTAATCTAATGAGTAAAACCCGCATGGCGACTTTCCGAAGGGAACCCCAGAATGGTCACTTTTTGTAGGGAAGCCCCAAAAGTGGTGACTTTTAAGGAACCCGCAGAATGGCGACTTTCCTGTTTGCTTCCTTTTACAACCACACAAAGGGTACCCTGAGAAAGAAGACGCCTCGGTGTTTCAAGGAAAACCAAAGAGACGAAGGAGGGCGGTCCACCCTGAAACTCCTTTTTGTTTACCAACGCCCGGGTGCTTGCGATTTTTGTCCACACTCTTAAAGCGGCCGAAGTTAGCTAGTTTCGGCACTGGTGTCTCTATGAACTTTGAGATGTCTTCGGCATCAGCATCAGCATTTTCGCTGGAGACAACGGCACATCCTAAAAGTGTAGGGACATGGCCATGGGTCAACAGCCAAATCGTACCCCCAGTGAACATCCCAATCCCCACTGATTTTAGACTATTCTGGGTGGTAAATTCACCTACCAACCAAAATAGGATCCCATTGGTTTTGACAACCACAGCCACATCTTCGACGGATCTCTTGAGTGCCCCAAACACGGTACTCCCTTGTTGGCATCTCTCGCTGAAGCGCATCCAGGTACTCGCAACATGGACTTCACGGCAAGCTCTTCCAAGCCATCCAGGGCTCCGTTTGGGTGTGGGTCAAAATACAACCACCAGGAAACCGCAGGTTTTAGTCCTTCTTTCTATTTACCAGGGTTCCATTTGGGGTACCTTTTTTATCCTTTTCTTTGACCCACAGCCATTTGTTGATTGGCCCAAGGGAGACTGACCCTTCAAGGGGGTGGTTTCCCTAAAAGGGCAACTGTTGTGTCTAAGCCTACCTTGGTCCAACGTGGAACTGGGCACAAGATTAAACCAATCAACACAGGGAACACCAACAAGTCACCAAAAACACTCTTCAAACCATCCAAAATCTCGTAGTACAAGCTGGACTTGAACCTCCCGAAGTTTGTTTCTGGGAGAGACCAACCCCTTGGGTTTACAATTCTCTGCGCGGAAAACGCCGTCCCTTGCAGGGAGAGACAGAAATTGGACAGAAAAGCAAGACGGAAACTAGACGAACATTAAGTCCATCAAAGCGACTCCCGAAAACCCCCCGGTTTGTTTCAGGTAAAGACCAACCCCTGGGGTTAAGTCCATCAAACCCACTCCCCGTTTCCCCCGCCCCCCCCCCCGGCATCCGCATCCCTCGGCATCCGCATCCCCCCTCCGGTCCGCGAGATGCAGCTCAGGCCCGGCGGGCCGAGGCTGGCGCAGGAGAACACGGGTGGAGTAGAGGAAGATCCAGGAGCAGTGGCCCAGCAATCCCTGGCGAACATGAAATGGGCGCAGGGAAACTGCGCCAGGAAGTTGATCTTCCAGGTATAGAGGTGGTGCAACTTGTTGCTGGGAAGGGAGGGTGAAATGGCTGTGGTCAAAACCGTTTTGGGATCCCATTTTGGTTGGGATTTGTGAATTCACCACCCAGTTTAGTCTTTTCTGGTGGGGATTGGGATGGTCACTGGGGGTACTGGCTTTTGACCGAACGCCATCACGGCAGGGCGACTAAAATTATTGAGTGAATACTACACGCTGCGCGTGTGAGATTCGGACCACTTTGTTCGCTGCATAATGCTGACATGGATGGCTCCCACAAGCCGTGCCAGGCACGTCGAAGAGATGCCCCAAAGTTGAATGCATGTGGAGCGACTCAACGCAAACTGGATCGCTGGGCTGGCCAGGCCTTCTGGGTCTCTGGCAAAAGCTCTGCCAAAGCGCACAAAAGCCTGCGGACTGCAAACTGAGCTGTCCCCCCCCCCCGGAGAAAGAACAAGGGCGCCACATGGTACCACTGAAGGGTCTGCGACAAAAGAATCACACTTGACCATGACCAAAACCCTTCCATGGGCCTCTTGTAAAACCTGAGAATCGCCAAACACTCTGGCCTCTGCTCCCACTGCACAACTTGCGAGGGCCGGCAACTCTCGTGAGCTGCGTCGATTGCATTTCCCCTGGTTCCTGGCTGTTCCAGCCCACATGAACAGCCTTCCCAGCCCTATCTGCAAAAGCATGCAGAATTGAAGCCCAGCTGCAAGAGATGCAAAGCGATGTCGAAGCTGGGCACGCCGACATCCTAAGTTGAACATAGCCCATCTGTCACAAAATGCGCGGCACATTGAACCCACTGGCCCAATGCGTATCTGAAAAAACATGGCTTGAGATGGAGCCATGTTCATGACTTTTGTGCTACGCGCCGCAGCGAGGATTGCGAGCAATTCCTTCCATCCAAGGGCTGCGCATGAACAAACTGCGGATTGGAGTCGTACAGCACAGCCTTGGCAACTGAGACCAATTGCATCAGCAAGCCAGTCAATAGTCATTACATTCCCAACTGACATCAAAAACACATCTCCGACTTTGGGGCACGTGTGACTCATGCAATCCCCATTGGCACAGCAAGTGCTGAGTATTGACCGAACCTCATATGGGCTTGTCTCAAAATGCACTCAAGCACATGGTGGATTTCCTGTTGGGTTCCTTCAAAACCAAGCCCCAAGGCAACATCCTCAAACTCTTCCAGGCAATATGGTCTCGTGTGATGTCCAGCTTCTGGGCTTCCGGGCCATCAGAAGGCCAAGCACAAGGCAAAGACCTGCACCGAAGTTTTCGCGAATTGGCAACGGAGTCAGAATCAACGCCTGGTACAAGAATGGTGAACCCAGGACCATGTAAGGAATAGAAAAGGCGGGCGCACCCATTTGCGGCTGGGACCAGCCCTTACTAACCTTCATTTCCCCGGGTTGTGAGTGTGACGCAACTGGCGAAAGTCGACATGCAGGCTGTCACCATCTGTTCCATTTGGCCCAACCGCCAGCAACTCTCAAAATGTTTCCCTTGGACCCTCTTGGCCCCAGTTTGTCCGGCGGATGGTGGGGAGCTTGGACAGGAAGCAGGCCCTGGGTCCAGCTTGGCTCCTTTTCAACCCATACACTTCAACAAATATCCCATAGAATGAAAAAGCCGACGTATTTGATGCACTACTCGAATAAAGTCATGTATCACTTACTGGTTAGGAGTGATGATTTTCACAGGGATCCTTACATTATACACCTGAGCATTGCAACTTGCAAATGGTGGTTTCCAACTTGATTTCGGTGTTGAAAAAACAACATGTTTCAAATGGTTGCAACATGTTTCAAATGGGGATTCATGTCCAGCAACCTCTTTGCAGATGACATGACCAGCAAGCTCTTTTAAGGAGCCCTGTTTAATCTTGGGCGAGGCTACAAAAGTGTAGACCGCACCTCCATAAAGACCTGTGGTCATCAGGGCAGCTCGGCGCCGCGCCTGAGCTTCGAGAAATATCCGGATCCCTCGGCAAGAGAAACAAAGAAGCCCGAATGCAACTATGAACCCCGGGGTCTCTCTAGGTACTCCAGATTTGAGAGCTTAGAAAAAGGGTAACCGTTTCTTTGTTCGGTTTGGAACCCTCCCCCAAAAAGGGTAAAAGGGCACTACTGGGGGACCTAGTCTTGCAACTGGACCAAGGACCATGATCAATGGAGAATCTGACATGAATCTCGAAACTCCGTGCCCTCTTCAAGCATGCTCTGACCAGTGCCTTCCCTTCTCTCCAGTGTGTCATTCCACGTCATTCCAGTCGCTATGAAGCGATACTGATACCAATGAACATCTCTGTACTCCTTCATGCACAGCGTTCTTCTCAGGGGTCCCTGAGGTGACCCCCCCCCAACAACCGAATTGTGGGGGTGTCGCCTCAGGGACACCTTGATCTTATCAGGTGTTCTGGGTTCAACAATGGCAAGCGACATGAGGCCAGCCTCTGGAGGCTGCTCGAGCTGCCATCGAAACGGATTGATGATGAGGCCATTCACAGCCTCAGACAGTTTTTCTGTCTGTTTTGTTTTTTGGGGGGCCCATTGTGTTCTTGAGGGGGGGGTCCATTTTGTTTTTAAACACTCACTCTGGGTGCTAGGTCTGCCATGTGTTCGGATTCGCAGCGACTTTGGTTTGGATGCGACGCACAAAAAGGACTGGAGAAGTCGGCAACAAGTTTCTGCGGAGATTTCTGCATCTGCGCTGAATGGCCGTGGGTCAAAATCTCGTACCCCCAGTGAACATCCGAGTCAATCCACGCTGAAACAGGTTCTAAAATGGGTGGTGCACCTACCCCAAAATGGTACCATTGTTTTTGACCCACAGCCAAATGAGTGCACTGGGTCTGACCCTGCAACTTGTGCGACTGCAATCAACATACATGCCTTTCTGTGTTGAAACTAGGGGCCCTTTTGGGGTTCCGCGGGTCCATCGGCCAAAATGGACGCCCGAGTTTTGTGGACTGAATTCGACGTGTCTCATGAGGGAACCCCATACCTGGTGGGGTTTTCCCTGTGGCGTCCCCTTACCAACCACTGGGGTTGGCCCCAAAAAACAGAAGGGAACCACTCATCAAGCCTCCACAAACCTGGGTGCCCCACCAGATTGAAGGTGAAGCCAAGCTGGAAAAACAGGTTCCTCGGTCACAGGATGGGCGGCCTCCCAAGAAAGGACTTCAACCAGATTCTGGTCGTCCTTTTGGTCAGAATTGAGGTGGGCGGTCCCTGTTTGAGGAAACATCCAGATCAAGCAAAGGCTTACATCACGTCTCGCTTCACCAGCACATCTGGCAACAGCTATCACCCTCTGCGGCTTGGTGGCAAGCAGGCGTTGTCGTACCTCAGCTCGACAAATGACTCGTTTTTGATAGTCCTGTCTTTCCTGAAACGGGAATCCGCCTGTCGTCTGACTGTTGCCAGAGTATGCCAGGGCAACACCTGCGCAGACTGCGCAGATGAGATGGCGACGGAGTCCCATTCCTGATGCATTGGAGCCTTTGCCTTCGCCCCCAATCCAAGGCACCAGTTCGGTTGGCCGCGGATCAGCGTGCAGATCAGGTTCAAGCAGCTCCCCGCAGAGGTAAAGAGCCTCAAGCGCAAGCCTTTCGGAATCCGCCTGAAACCGTTGCCTCGCATGGACAAGGCAACCGCAGGTCACTGCGGTGCAAAGGGCATCTGAGAACCGGTGGAACCATTCTCTTTGGTATCGGGTAAGTGCTCGATGAAGAAAAATCACTAAGATTTACATGGCAAACCTTCCAGGAATGCATCTGAGTCAGCTCCTTGGTCCGAACCAAGCGTTTTTTTGTGCGCGCGACCTTCGCAAGCCAGCTGCGACCAACACAAAAACCGCGCTCTGATGCTTGCCAGGGGACAGAAGTCGGCTCATGTAGTCAACTAAGCCCTTCTTGCTGACAGCACCTTGCACTTGCTTGAACAAAATCCGTGCGCATGAAGTGCCGCTCATGTGGTCCAGTTGCAGTCCAAGTCGCACAAAGTGCCAGAGATGATCACCAGGAAGGGAAGCACCCACTGCTGCACTGCAAAGACATTCCTGAGGTCACTCAAAAGGACCGCCAAGCACGGCCGATATGGAGCAAGTCATGCGGGCAATCCAGAAATCTTCAGGTTCCACATGCTGTGCAGAACAAGGAACAGTAGCACGCCATGGGCACCCAACATCTGCAGTTTTGACAACCATTGACAGGCGTCACACAGAAGCGCACGCACACCCGCGCACACGAACGCACACACACACACACAAACAGACACACACACACACATACACACAGCGCGACACAGACACAGAGACACAGAGACACGGACACACAGAGACACGGAGGCACGGAGACACAGAGACACGGAGACACGGAGACACGGAGACACAGAGACACGGAGACACGGAGACACGGAGACACAGCGACACGGAGACACAAGCACACACACAAACACACGCACACAGGATGGATGGATTGGACGGACATCAGGATTAATTGAACCCGCACACAGACAGACACAGACACACAGACACACAGACGCACAGACACACAGACACACAGACAAAGACACACAGACACACGCACACACACACACAAACACACACACAGACACACAGACACACACACACAAACACGCGCGCACAGACATGCACACACAGACACACACACACACAGACACACAGACAGACACGCAGACACACCGATAGACACACAGACGCACAGACACACAGACACACACACAAACACACACACACAAACACACACACAAACACACACACACACACACACAAACACACACACACAAACACACACACACACACACACAAACACACACACACACACACACACACACACACACACACACACACACACACACACACACACACACACACACACACACACACACACACACACACACACACACACACGCACACACACACACACACACGCAACACACACACACACACACGCAAACACACACACACACACACAAACAACAAACACACACACACACACACACACACACACACACACACACACACACACACACACACACACACACACACACACACACACACACACACACACACACACACACACACACACACACACACACACACACGCACGCACACACACACACACACACACACACACACACACACACACACACACACACACACACACACACACACACACACACACACACACACACACACACACACACACACACACACACACACACACACACACACACACACACACACACACACACACACACACACACACACACACACACACACACACACACACACACACACACGCACGCACAGCACGCACGCACGCACGCACGCACGCACGCACGCACGCTCTGCACGCACGTACTACGCGCACGCGCACGCGCACGCGCACGCGAACGCGCACACGCACACGCACACGCACACGCACACGCACACGCGCACGCACGCGCACGAGCACGCGCACGCGCACGCACGCACGCGCGCACGCGCAAACGCGCACACGCGCACACGCGCACACGCGCGCACACGCACACACACACGCACACACACAAACACACGCACACACGCACCGACGCACGCACGCACGCACGCACGCACGCACGCACGCACGCACGCACGCACGCACCCACACACACACACACACACGCACACACGCACACACTCTGCACACTCTGCACACCAATGAACAGGACGTTGAGTCTGGATGAACCTGGGAATCTGTGTCTTTGCCAAAACTGACTGGGCATTTCGCAAGCCAAACGGCCATGTTGGAAGGATGCGAATCAGCATGGGGGCGCGGGTTCAGAAGTGCAGTGCTGTGTCGGACCTTTGCAAGTCGGATGCAGTTTTGAACCTTGCTTGGAGGGCCCAGAATAGACTCCTCGACCTTAGATTCTTGGCTGTCCAAAACAGCAAGAAACGAAAGTGACGTCCTCAACGTTTCCCAAGTGGTGATCTAAAGGGGCTTCCCTGAAAATCACTCGGAGAACCCAACTGCCAACCCTTGCTTTTGCCATGCTAGGTCCTCCAGTAGGGAGGTTGGAATAAGGGTACCCTTTTTTCTGTAGGGGAACCCTCCCCCAAAAAAGAAACGTAAAAGGGCACTACTGGGGGACCTAGCATGGTATGCTTCCTGCCAGGCAGCCACTCAGCATATTCTTCGTTGGAGTGGGTGATGACCACCAGCGCCACGCAGAGCGTTCGCCACACGTCGAAGTAGAGGATGTACTCCTCACAGCTTTCACACTTCCACTTGGCTAAGACCCCTGGAAAAAAGAAAAACATCACGTAGTGATCGATCCCCTTTACAACCAACAGGGGGAAATACAACATATTCTTAAGCAAATGGAAGCAGTTCTTGCTTCTTCTCAGCAGGAAATGAGAATTGGAATGAACCCTACAAAAACCATGCCTAAGGTTTTCTTTGAGGGCACCCTGGGTTCATTCCATGTCTCATTCCCTACCTATCGCACCTGCAAGATTTCCCTCACCTCAAGGGCTTGCCATGCTTGCCTGCTTCTCCCTAGACTTCGAAAGTCCATTCTTGAAATGGCCGAGGTCGCAAAGTAAGTGTCTTTGGAAAAGGCTACTTTTTGATGGGTTTGGGAAGGGTCATTGTTCATGCTCGCTTCGAATGGCGACAAGTGGCTGAGCAAGCACTTTTATGCAGCATGCTTGGCGTACCATTGCAACTGCTCAGTTGTTCAGTGACCCTGGGAAAAAAAGGAAACCCTTTTTGGGGAAGACCATTTTTAGTGGGGCAGCCACCAAGAAAAAAAGGGACACATAATTGGTGCCACTGAACAACTGAGACTGTGTCAGTAGGGCAGCTCTGCCTGCAAGCATAGCGGGCTCTTGCCAGTGTATTCTGCCAATCCAGTTTTGGCACTAGCGGTTGATTGGCATGCGGGCTCCACGTTGAGCCAAAACCAGTGCGAACGGCTGCAACTCTTTGATCCAAAAACAATGCTTGGTTGACGTTGAAAGGGGAGCAACAATTCTCAAATTTTTAGCAGCCAAGTGGGGATTTCCCACTAAACCACAATAAGCAAAAATGTAAAATGTTTCCCAAAAACAACCAAGAATTCGTGCAAAGAAACCCGTGCAAAGTACCTCCCAAGTAGCTCCAAACATGTCCCCCGCCCCTCCCTCCCCCGCCCGCCACTTTGAGTCTGCTCCTTGGGAGTTTTGGACGATGTCGGAGCTTCAGGAGCTTCCGCCGGAGGGCTGCTCACAGGCCGGCGGGACCTGACATTAGCTTGGGGTTCTGCAGTGGGAAAGGCTTGGACACCCACTCGCCCTTCTTGGAGCAGCAAAAGGGAAACCAAAAGGAAAGCCGAAGTCCATGTTTGGCATCCCGGATTCCCCTTAAACAACATGCACAAATGGCCCTGGCATTGGAGCAGGTAGAACCTCCTAAAACCCACTGAGGTGTTGGGCGCTAAGGTGTCCAAGCCTGGAAGCTTGACCAGTTCTGATTCTGGGCATCCGCACTTTCTCTTCTTTTTTGGGGAGGCCCCAACAACTGTCTGGTGGTACTCCTTTCGGTTTCCCTTTAAACCAACCCCAAAACCCCCAAAGGGGCCACACCCAAATCTAAGTCGCTCGCCTCAGGTCCGCCACCAACTTCGACGCCGGGCCACAGCCGAGCCAGAACACCAATTGCGCGTACTCGGCTGCGCCGGGCATGGCGGATGCACCCAACACTTTGATGCCTGAAGCCGGTTATGGAGCAGTGGTGCCCTTTGGTTTCCAACCGAAAACATATCGTAAACTGAGATGAATTGAATGATAAGGATAATGCAAGAGAAACACATACCAATCATGGCCCTTGATAATGTTTCTTTTGGAGTCGGAGTCTGAAACAATAAAACTTAACATGTAAAGAATAATCAAGACACAAACATGTAAAGAAGAAAAAACAACAACAATCCGATCATACTTCTGGAGCGAACCACGACTCGCTTGAAAAGCCCCTATGAGAGTGGTACTATAAAGACTCCTGCTGGAGGCAACTGCCAGTGAGTCTTGGTACCAAAGAGTGAAACATGCTCTACAACACATTATGCTCCTGCTTGAAATCCGCTGCATGTGTGCCCTGCGAGCATTCCATTTTTTGTGCATTGAGCCGGCTGCCTGACATGTGATCGTGGGTCCTTAAATAAGCTGCCGATGGGAACATGCAGCTTGCCAGGGATGCATCTACCCGTCACTGCGGTTTCAGCGAACATTGCAGGGTGGCCCTTGTCAAACAACATTGCACAAATTCATCTGGTGCTGCCCTAAAGTGCAGAGATCATTTTCATGCCGAACTTGCCCAAAGCAAGGTGAGTCGCAATCAAAACCTGGTATTAAAATGGTCTACCCAGAACCATGTACAGGATTAAGAAGGCGGCCGCAGCTATTTATGGCTGGGATTGGCCCTTACTAACCTTCATTTCCCCGGGTTTGATTGTGGCTCACTTGGATTTGGAAACTCGTCATGCTGAACATGACTTGCTGCAGCTTGTGGATGGTCAAGCGTGGACACCACGTTCTGCTGGTTGCGCGGCGCAACGGCACAACTTGAAGCAACAGTGCTGCAACGAAAACAGTCAGTGCTTCCTGTAGTCCATCACTCACACGTGTCACCTTAAAGGGACCTCACCTTTTTGAATGGGCAGAACAAGTCCTTTCAGGCCCCTGTTGAGAAATGTTCGAAGTCACTCTCATTCCCCCCTTGGCGCATTTTCCTCGAAGCCTCTGGTCCTACCTGAGCCATCGCTCTCTGCGAGCCTGAGATTCGCATTGTGTCGACGCTTTGAACAGGGACGCACACTTATCGGTTGGGTGACCCTAAATGGGTTCGAAACAATAGGTTCCAAGATGCCAACAATCAGATTGTCCTTTGGTGCAAGCGACAAGCAATAGGAACCCGTTTCAGAACCCGTTAAAAGAGCCCCTGAGTCAGCAAGAGGTCCTTAATTGATCTTACTTGCGCCTGTCCAAAGTCTCTCCGTTTTGTTTTAAACTTGCACCTCCGGTTTGTCTGGTCAATTTCAGTGTTATGGTACCTGACTGCATCTGAAGTGCTCCAGCCCAAAGGACTATTTCCGAGGATTTGCACAGCGCGCTGAAGCCATCCTTCTGGTTCATATTCTAGGAAAATTCTTCGTGGAACGGTCAATGGTAGGAAAACCCCTCAACTCCCTGTCGTTGTTGCTGCCGCTGCCTGCTTTTTGGCTTCCATTTGCGTTAGACGCCGCTGGACAAAATGAGAACATATTTCCAGTAGTGAAATCGATTCGCTTTCAAATAAGGGGAACATAAAAACTATATTTTATGAGGGAATGACCCCGAGATAAACCATCCAACTGGTGGTTTCCTTTATTCGGGGATCCCAAAGAGTTCATTCAACCACATTCGCTGGGATAGACAATCCAGCTGGTGGTTTCCTTTATTCAGGGATCCCACAAAAGTCATTATGGTTCATTCCATTTCTGTTTCCCTACCCTCATAAAACAAACTCAGGTGACATCCCCAACAGCATGCGGTGCTCTTTCTTGTGCTCGCACCACCCCGCAGCCCTGGTGGCACCCTGGTGGAACCCTGGTGGAAATGTGGTGGAACGCTGGTGGAATCCTAGTGGAACCCTGGTGGAACCTTGGTGAAACCCTGGTGGAACCCTGGTGGAACCCTGGTGGAACCCTGGTGGAACCCTGGTGGAACCTTATATAGCTCAGGGCCGCGTCGGACCACCCCGGAGCCTATCTGGGCTGAGACCCCAAAGCTTTCAGCTGTTGGGGAAAGAAGAAAGAAACAAAAAACATCCAGCTGGTGGTTTCCTTTAAGGGGTTCCCTGGGTTCATTCAACCACATTCCCTACCTATCACACCCATCGCACGTTTCGGAACAAAACAAATCGCTCGCCAGGCTCAGGTCGGCACCCAGCCAGCGAGCACCGGCCGACTTCCCCCGAGCCTGTGCCACTTGCGAGTTGAAACGCCCGGTGCCACTTTGGTCGACCCACGAAGCCATGTCTTTCTTTGAGGTCGGAACAAAAACCCGATAAAATGGGCATTGGTCGACCCACCATTTTGTCTTTGAGGTTGGATGAAACAAACGATACAATGAAGGTCAAGGAAGAGGTGTTGCTGGCATTTCTTCCCAATTCCTGGACATAATTGTCAGGCTGTGAGGAAACAAATGAGGTCAAGAAACGTTGGTGGGTTGGTGGTTCTGTCCTTTCTTCTCCAACTGTCAGGGGACCGGTTAAACGGGTTCTAAAGCGCCAACTTGGAACAAAGGACAATCATGTGCCGTAAAAGGGGAACCAAAGGTCAAAAGGTCGGTTTTGGACAACTGAGATAAAAGCCAAAAGGTTAAAGATTCAACCAAATAACAGCCAAGCCTTGGCTGCTTGCGGCTTTTGTGATTGGCCGCTGTGCAGTTGCCACGCGCCCAGAATGGTGAGTTTCCCTTTTGTCTCCTCAAAAAGGGGCATTCAACTTTAAGCTAGCCGCGCATGGCGCAGACATGTGGGTCGCACAAATAGCAACATGCAATTCGAGACACAAACTCATGCGTTTGCCAAGAAAAGGATGTCTGCTGTATGATGTCCGTTTTAAGGGTTGCAACCCTATAGAAAGGCCATCTCCCACCCGAAGTGAGAGGGGGAGTGTCCGGCAGGAATGGAGTTCCAGGGGGCCTCTCCCCCAAATGTTGGGTGTGATGGAATGCCGCTCGTTTTTGAGGGGTCTCCTGAAAAACACACAAACCAGCCATCTGGCTTGGCTCCGCAAACTTAGGGAACAAACAAATGGCACTTCGGTTTCTTCCATTTGCTTAAGTCCACTGGAAAAATATCAAACATATTTCCAGTCCCTTCAAAACCAGCAGGGGAAAATAACAAACATGTTCATTTCAGCAAATGGAAGGTTTTGTCAATTGGTTTCCCCAACCAAAAGCATACACCCCTTAAAAAGCGGAACCCACATTGATCCATTCGCCTCAGCTTCGCCAGGTTGATGGCACCGCCTCAAATTTTGCGATCGGTGCGAGAGATGCAGGGAATGGGAATGAGACATGGACTGACCCCGAGAAAACTGGTTTGCACGGTTATGGAGGCACCTGCGCAATGCAAAAGACCCCGATTGAATGCAAAACATGGACCAACCCCTGACTCCAACCGATTTGGCTTTTGTTAAGTGGTGGTTTGGACCTGTTCGAGGGAGAAAAACACCCTGGGCAGATCGTTTCCTAAAAAGTCGATTCCCAAAGGGTTCATTCAACACCCGGTGACCGGGTCATTCAACCTGAGCGCCAGGAAAAGCATTTGTTTCCAGAATTCCTAGAGGGAAGGCCACGGAACGGGTCCCAAGAGCCGTCTTCCGGCGACGATCTTTCTGATCTTTTTAGCAGGTGAACCCCTGGTATAGGAGGAATCTTCATGCATTCAACATACACTGCTTGACATAGGGACCACACAAATGGAGAATGGACTCTGTGGGTTCCAAGTCATTAGCAACCCTTTGGGAGGCTTCCAATGTGCTTTTGTTCACTAGGAACCCTTTGGGCGAACATCAGAAATACATTGGACAATCCAAGAAAAGCTATACCTGCATCGAGCCCATCGAGAGACAAGGACACTTTGTTTTTGTTGTTCCCACATTTCAGTGCCATGTCCAAGAGGGTGCAGACAAATTGGATTGTCCCGCCCTCTTGTGGTTTTTTTGGGAGTTGTTTTCCCCTGTCCCTAAACTGAGAGTAGACTGCCAATAGTGTCAATCACTTTATTTCTGGTAATATGAATCATTTGCGGAGACAAGCCCACGGGTTTATTGAGGCCTGCCTTGGCTTTTGGGGCCAAAGGACCCAACTTGTTGCTTGATCGCATACGAGCCTCTGGGGGTCGAGAGCACAAAGTCGAGAGCACGATTCTGTGGGACACTGAAATTTGGGTGCTTCTACATAGGGAGCAGCGTTTTGGATGGCTTGAAAAAGGAGCCGAAAGGACATCAAACAGGTATTGGTTGGCATCCGAGTGGTAAAGCATGGGGATCACATGCACAGGTCGGTGCCTTTTTTTGGAGCCGTCTGGTTTGAGGGGTCAAGTTCGGCATACCAACAGGAAACCTACACTTTTGCAGGGGCCATTTTCTTGTCCCAGGTAGTCTAAACTCGGTTGCTTTCTGCTCCCCTGCCAAAAGTTTAACTTTTAGTGGCTTAATGGAAACTACCACTAAACACTAAAAGGCTAAAAAGCTAAGGAACCGGATGGCTGGGATGGCTAAAGTCGTAACTTCCCTTGGCAAACTGCACCAAAGTAAAAGGCGGCGACCTGAGATGAGCGACCACAACTCCTGCCAACGCAGGGCCTTTAAGTGCATTAGCTTCAGCTTGAAGGGAATCACACAAGCGCGCACGCACACACCACCAAGAAAGCATTATGTGTATGAAGGAGCATATAAGATGTAATAATATGCAATATCTGAAGGGTTGCCTTTCTGGCAAAACTCACCTTAAATTGGCCAAACTGGTGATGTTGCAAGCCACCAGTTTAAGTACATCTGCTTGCTCTTCCTCTCTCTCCCGCCTTCCCTCTCTGTCTCTCACAACGTGTCGCCCAAGGTTGGTACGCGCAGCGCTGGCCGCCTGGCATAGGACGCGTTCCCATTGCACTCAGGCCACGTGATCTCCTGAGATGCCCAGTGGCCATAGGAAGAAAAGGGGCATCCTTTTTTTTGGGTTGACTTTA